ATAAAGGAAGAAAATGAGCTGTGTAAAAATGATTTTCGTTCACTCTAACTTTCAGTAAAGAGCACCTAATTGATATTTCAAGACTTAAGAAAAAGAAAATAACAGCATTTACCGAGTACTTCATGATGATAACTTTATTATAACAATTTTTACACTGCAGTAAAGAAAATTTATAATTTTCACTGTTTAACACCAATTGGTCCCCTTAAATTAAATCAAATGAATTACTAATTACATGTATAATTTGCAAGAGGTTTGCTACGCAGTCTTTGCAATTGACAAAGGCTAAAGTCATTTAGGAGCTCGAGTCTTGTATGGAAAGTCACTTCTAAGTTTGAACTATCTTCATCGGTAAACCAATGAGAGTTAGTGCCGAATTTCGAAGCGCTTCACTGCTTTACGAAGCCAAGTTGCGATTTTGCTGCGTGTACACACACACACACACACACACACACTCGTATGAAGCGCTTCGATGGCTGCAATTTAATTTGCTGTTCCACTAATAAGATTACGAATTGGAAAAGAGATTCGCTTTTATTAATAATAGCAACCATACGGTAAATTGAGTTATTGTTTTATATATAATCAAATTAAATGCTAAATATGTAAATAGTGTTGAAATGGAACTTGTCAGAATCTGTAGCGAGTGCATTGCAAATCATAACAGGGCAAATCAAAGGGCAAAAGGGCAAATAAAAGTTTGAAATAAATATATTTCAATTCATGAACATAAAATGCTGATATTTATCGAACGGCAAATGGGGCAATAAAAAAAGATTGTGCAAATCTAAAACCGATATTCATGGCCAATCAGATTAGCAACAGGTCATAATCAGTTTTGCAATTGACAGAGCGGAAAATCCTCGTAAAAATTCTTGGAATCGACAGGTTGACTGGCAAGAAGGATCGACAGTGCTTTTTCGTCTTATTGAAAAATCGATACAAACTATTCGCGTGTGCGCCTGCAGCATTCGAAAGCTCTTCATTGGCTTTCTCAAAGCTCCATTCGCGAGCTATCGACGTAGTGCAGCATTTCAATTGACGTGTACCGCCCCCTTGAGGAAGCTGTAAGAGAAAAAGAGCGAGAGGGAGCTGTGAAAAATCGGTCAACTTAGTCACGCTGAATTTGCTCTTGGTTATACCGATAAGCCATACGTAAACCTTCGTTATATCGCTATTTCAAATGGAATTTCATGATCTGCCGTTTACTTATTCACATTTTATTATATGTCGGCTCGGTCCCCCAAATATTTTTGAAAATGAATCTAGATAAAAATCCATAAAATTAATTCTGCCAAAAGACTTTGAAATAATCAATATTCACTTCATTTTATTACTTTGGTCAACCGAAATTTATTTATTATTGTATATGTTAACGAATGTAAATATAGTTCATATAACACGCACTTAAAATCGTTTTATTATTTCGCAAGAAGATATTTTGAGAATGTACAATATTTTTACTGGAAATGTCTTTTTCTCTATAATACAGACATCCAGGCCTAAATTAAATTACGTTATTTTTCATGTATTTGGCAATAAAGTTTGAAATTATAAGTGCTGTTAGGGTCATACTTTATATTTAATGATATAATTCCACGTTGTATTATGAGATAAAATTTTTTGTTCGTTATTTTGATTCAAAATTTATTTTTTAAGAGCGTTAAAACTGTAGCCGAGTAGCCGCGTTATTCGACATTTAGACGATATGTACTAAAAATTGTCCACCAATTATCCACATTACACTCCTTTTATATGTGGAAATAATATATGATTACAAAGTTTTAGATGTCCGTTAACTTTTTCGATCGTAAAATAACAAACGACGACTCTGCGTTCATTCCCTTTGACCTATTTCAGCGCATCGACGTTTTGAAAGTTTTTATCAATAAAAGATCTAGCTTGCATAAATAAAAGTAGCAAAAAACATTGAGTAATCCGAGTATGTAAAAAATGAGAAACGCGTTGTAACATAACAATAGCAACGAAAAATCCTACAAAAGCAATCCCTCGTCGAAATTGTAACGAGAGCTAAAGAAAGCCAAGTCTTCTTGTGGCAAATGGAGCTTGCGATATAACGAAAGCTAAAGCCACCAAGGCGCACTGCTGGGCCACTGATCCCTTTCACGGATACATGTATGCAGTCAAAAAGGAAAGGAAAGAGAAAAAATACGTTGTCGCGGGTGCATCTCGACTACTTCGTGAGAGGGAATCCTCTGAAATCTCGCAAGCGTAGAGATGGTTGCGGCTTGGCGCAGGCGCACTCATACCATCGCCGCGCTGCTGCTCATTATTGTTTCGTGAACCACGAGCAATCGTGACGCAGCCTGCAGTAGCACGTACATACGCCACGCTTCTCGCTTTTCCCAACTGAAATCTTGCAGTTAGCTTTTCTCTCTCTTTTTTTCTTTCTTTCTTTATCTATCTTTCTTTTTTAACTAGCCCGATTTTCAGTTTCACCCATACTCTCTTTTCTCGTCAAGCTTCATCGACACCATCAAACTATTAGAATTATTGACAATGCCTGTAATGCTAAACCAATCCAATTATAGTTATCTTTTTGCCTACAACAATCTAAAAGTGACTTATGATTAAAAATACTGATATCTATCTATTCCGTTCTATAAAAGATTTTTTTAACAACGAATATTATGTGCACTCAAGAGTAGATCACAATTTTGAATTTTTGGAAAATTTGTCTGCAATATAATTTAAGAATAAAACTTTGAATACTGCTGTTGATGAATAAAAGCACGATCCTCCCAAAATCCGATCTATACTTTACGTTCGCATCGATAGAAAGGCTTCTTCTCAGATCAAATTTCTACCCATCGGCACAATTCGAGGCAGAGTTACAAAATCAATATAATTTCTTTTGGTTTTTCCATTCAGTATTTTCATCGAAAAAGCTAAGAATAATCTGTTAAAAATTCAGCCATTCAAACAAAAATTTTGAGAATGACATCTCGTGAAATAATTTTTCACAAAAGGTAAATAAATAAGACAAAAGTGAACGCTAAATAAATACGGAAATTCATGTATTCGAGTTTTGCTTAATTACATGAATTGTTAGATTTTAAATTTAGTAGTTTTTTTGTTTAAAAACAAATTGAAATTGAAACTATATTTTTTAATTAATTTCACAATGTATCGCGATCTACTTTATTCCCTGGTGTAGATTTTTAAAAATAATTAAATGACATTTTTTCTTTAGTCACGCTATTTTATAATCTACCCATGGAAGCCTTTGTAGAATATCCTACAAGGTACGTAGAATTCTGCAAAGTAACTCTACGTTAATTAATAACTTCGCCGTATCTGCACCAGTATATGAACAACATTAAAAAAATCGTTTAAATGAATCTTTAATTGTAATTTAATATAGTGTTTGAAACATGCAAGAGTATTTTAAGTTTTCATTATTTTGAATGAAAAAAATTTAATATAAAGTGCATTGTTAATTTCACCAGTGAGTACTCTACAGTATTGTTTATTTTACTGAAAGCCGCATCTATTCATGAATACAATACAATCAAAATAGCTGCCTTCCGTTAAAAAAACACAACACCTGCGAAGGACCGTTAATTAATCGGATATCATTGAAAAAACGAAGCCATAGCCACATTACAAAATCCCGCTGGCAAATACGATTATCGATCATTAGTCGCATAGAGAAAGCCATCGGCACCCACGAAGAGAAAGAGAGGGGACAAGTTAGCCGCAGGCGTCCGAAAAATTAATCCTGTAGTCGCGTGAGGCACACAGACAAGCACGCACGATGGTACCATCTGCGCGCGCGAACAATGACACCGAAAACAATCCGCCGTCTGTGTTCAGGTGTGTGTCCGCCGAGGAAGTCATTATTCTCAGGGCTCTCGATATATCCTATACCTTCGTTTGGCTTCCTAAAATGAGGTGGGGGAAAGCGAGTGTATGGCATACGGTGCGTTTGATGGATCTAGAGATATAGCCTCTTTTGACATTGGAGACGACTCCTTCGCGCAGACAAACTCCACTTCTGGATTTTATTGCGTGGTTTTTGTCAATTGCTCTGGTTCCCAATAGATAATTGTTTAATAGGTTGATATGAAAAAATCAATGATAGTATAAAGAAAGTGATGCAGGAGTGATTAAATGAATATCTATAATCAACACGTCGAATTACATACAAACGAACAAATGATACGAAAATCGTTCAACCGGCAAGTCGCTGTCAATGAAACTCAACAATAATATCCCTCTAATGGAAAGGAAATGGACCAGTATTTTCAGAATCAGCGTCTTCGTTGATTTCGTAGTACAAGTAAAGGAAATGTTATTAACCCAATTTCAAATGTCACTGTACTCCGAACGATCAATAAGATAATCAGTGAAAACCTCGAAAATAAACTTATCGCAAGGAGTGCCATCCGTCTCCGTATAACAATTACAACAAGGCACAATCAACTATCAAGGTGCAATTACCCTAAGCAAAAATCAATATGTATAAAAGCATCATCGTCGTCGTCGTCATCATCATCATCATCACCATCATCATCATCATCGTCATCATCATCACGTACTCCCCCTAAAAACAAAAGTCTATTATTATATTTCCCTGCGCGCATGCGTGCACGTTATAATTAACGCTTATCTGCTAAACAATATTGAGTCAAGTCATCAGAGCGAACTTTCCAAAATGAATTATCACACCAAAAGGGCATTTTATTTTACACCTTAACTATACTAATAGCATAATCGAAGGAAAAGTAAAAAAGAGGAGTCTCTAAATAGTCCTTTCTTTAAGTCCCGTCCCTATACCATTATATATATTTTTTTTGTTAGAAAGTTGTGGGCGCGTGCACGGGGCGAAGTAGTGGTAGGGTGGTCGCGCGCAGAGGTGGAGGGGGAGTCAGAAGCGTGCGGCGACGGCGGCTGCTACTGTCTGCTGGCTGAACGAACGATGCCGAAGAAGCCAGCAGTGGCCGATCGCAACTGCTGCCGGCAGGCTGCGTGTTGCATGCGTTTCGCTCCATACTTTCAATCCTGTAATATAACCTCGTGCAAAGTAGCTCAAGGCTTCGTATACCCCCATGTGTCGATTGTGAAAACTCTTGTTGTATGTATATTATCAAGATACATCGTTTATCTAAGGTAATCCTCTCTGTTTCTTTTTGTCTTGTGCGTGTGACTCTATCGAAGCCGGCTCTTTTCATTACTCTCATGGTCGGAATTGCGCTTTGTGCCTGGAAATCACTGCAGTGCAAAACCTGACACTGCAATAATTGCTTTCTTTTTTTCTGTTCCCGTGTCGTTGTTACAACAACAACGCTGATGCTCGCGTGCATTCATCACTGACTGCCGACAACATACTTTTCTCGTGCGTTACTACTTGGGTTATCGTCACATGAACTTTCGTCGTTAATTCACGTTCCGTAGGTCTCATTTCTTTTTTGTTAATTCAGGCCTCATTTCGAGGTTAATATGCCAAAACAAAGTATACGCATGGCCCAGCAATACTCCCTTACTCTGGCGAATATTTCGTTTTACATGTAGATTATAGTCCTCTTACAATAAACTTGGAGCAACAACTTCGGCAATGCAATTCAAATGGTATCACAACAATAGTTTGAAACCGACCCCAAAGCAAGTGTATACATTTGGATAATCATTCAACAAGCAAGCCAAGAAGGGAGGGTATGCGAGGGTATACAAGCTAATTATTGACTTGCCAACAATTCGCAATACGCTCGTGTTAACTGATCGGAGAATACTGTTTTGTCGGTTCTTTTGTGCAGATACAATAGATGATTTTAGGGAGAAAATTTGATCATTTGGCTTAGCAAGTAAATAAGAATGCTGCTTGAAAAAATTGATTTGATAAATTAACCGAGCTGGAATAGGTATAGGTGAGACGTTTTAATTTCGGAAAAATCAATAATTGCACCTTGGTGTAGAAATTAAAAAAAATGAGTTAACAAAAATAGTTGAACTCTGGAATCCCATGATACTTGCTAACAATTCGGCGAGGTATAGCGCAGCACGAATACCAAACTACTTTTAATTCATAATACCGCGCGAGCGCCAGGGGCTTTGTGTCCCTCATATATAGCATAAGTAGGCTTAGCAGGTGGCGCATCCGGGACGAAACTTGAGACCGAGAGTTATACGCTATATGTACAATCGCTCGACTACTGTGTGCGTATACGTATATTGGCAGAATAGCTTGCAATACCGAACGATATTTTATCAATATTTTATTAATTAATGGAATTAACAATTTTCGTTCAACCGTTATACGCACAGAGAGAATACTGCATACAGCCGTTAATTTGAATAAAATGAGTTGCCTGGTTAAAGCCATGAATAAACAGAATAATAATCTACTGTACGTGTGTCATAGGGGAATATATATATATATATATATATATATATCGATCAGAAAACTAGCTTCGGGAGCTATTGAATGAATGATAACAGTACTTAGATACCTATTCGCTGACCGCTCACCTCCCTGTTCATTGTATTATATCATTTTCTGTGTGAATAACACTCGTGTATTTTAATAAATTATGTAAAATACGCTCTTTTGGCATTATGAGATGAGGATGATATAGCCTAAAAATTATTTTGTCTCTGATTCAATACATCTTTTACCTTTGGAATTTTATTATTTGTTGGTTAAATACACTTGGCTTATCTAACCAACAATGTAAGTGTAGCTCTATGGTAACTTGAAGCAGTTTATTGTTTCTTTTGACAAAGTCAGAAAGGATTACCTCACCAACTGAATAGAATTTACATGAACTACCTAGCGCATTCTAAACTTTAAAAAACAACTTCGCTTATCTTTATCTTATGTACATCTTTTAAAAATATATAACTTTTCTTTATTTCATAAACAACAGTTGTTGTTTTCGATGAATTTCTAAAAGTAGACAAAAGACAAATGGTGGTATAAAGGGATGGTGCGAGCCAAATAACGATCAATGGGAGCGTACGAAATCGTTTATTATTCTGACTTACCGTACCGGTCATTCAGCTCCCCTTTAGAGCTGTAATTCTTTACAAAAATAATACGCCCTACGAAATTTGTGTTTTTGACACAATAATGTACCACGAAGGTTCGTGATTTGTACAATGTAAGTCTTACCAACGTCAACGCATTAACTATGTAGAATACAGAATGAAAAGCCGCGATTTTCACTGTCTTTGAATAGCGTTTTCTTTATTTTTAACTTCATTGTCAGAGGAAGTAAAATTTTCATAGACTGTTAAATTTTTTAGCATAGTACAGTAAAACGATCATAGAGTCAACGGTTTATCATGCCAATAACTTTAACAGTCAACGGTATAAATTTAGAGCAAGCGTAAACTTATCCAAATGAATGAGTTGAATGTGATTTGCAGACTGGATTTTTTATTAGAGAATCAACAAAAAAGGTTATCAGGTCGAAATGATCTCGATGTTTCGTTAACTTTCGCTATTTTGCCGAGTAGGGGAGGGAAAAATTCTAGCTAGATAGCATCGCCGTCGATCGGACTCGGCAATGATATACATACAAAGATGACATACTACAATAAACGATTTCCCGTGATTCAATCGATCGTTTACCACCATTTGAATAAATTTTGGAACATCCCGGTTGGAGTTAATACCAAATAATAGAAACAAAACAGTGATGTAATTATCCGTCTTTGTTATTTACATTCAAAATTGACATTGAATAAATTGGCAATGTTTATTTAATGAATTTCATCACAATAAATCATATTAGATTATTCTATCAAAGAACTAGTTGTCTGTCGTAGAGAATTATAACTACTTTATAATAATTTATTAAACGTGCAATTAATTAATGAATTGAACTTTTTTCTTGCATCTCTCTTTGTATCAATCATTTTTTTATATTGAAAAATTGTTTTGCTATTTCTATACTATAAATCATCAAATCGTTAGATAATGAGAGATTTCATAATTTTTTTACATAATGTATATTTTTATTCTTCATTCAATGGAACTACGATAACATTATGCTGATATCGAATGCAGTATTTTTTGACGTTTTAACGAAATTGTTCAATTATAAATTAGAGAAAATCGCTAGCGATACTTTTCTTAATCATACCAAATGAAGAACTTACATAGTCATAAATTAAACAATCTAGACTCGCAACATAAGCATCTACAAAAAAAAATTGACAAGTTCACTATGTCGGTATTATCTCCATAAAAAAGAGGACTATAAATAAGAAACTTCCTTCGCGAATTACATACTTTGGAGAAAAGAGCAAAATAGGAAAAGGTAAGCATGGCGGCCAATCGTAAAAACAAGGCTTCTCGAGAATGCATCGAACGCGAGAGAAAAGAGAGTAAAAAAAGAGAAAGAAGTGCACAAGAAATACAGAAACGTAAAAAAACAAGAAGAACGGCCAAGCGAAACACGTACACCTGCGTTAGCGCGCGGCGTGGCGCTCATCCTCGTAGCGCGGAGGCCATACATAACGGGGCGCGCACATGAGAGGAGGGAGGTGGAATTGCATGAAATACACATGCACACACAAACGAAAGAGAGGAAGAGAGAGAGAGAGAGAGAGAGAGAGAGAAGAAAGAAGCTCGCGACAAATCGCGAGAGGAGCACGTACATATGTATATATACACACTGCGCACTGTACACGCTTTGGGAATCGATTGACGTGCACAAGCTCACACGCATCGCACAGTAGTCCCTCAAGATATATACGTACGCAAGTTGCATTCCTATTAATATACGTGCCAGCGCGCCTGGCAATCAACGATCATCATCGCTTTACTGATCTGCGCTGCTATTGCTCTGTAGTTGAGAGGACTTGGAGTGCAAGGTTTGATACAGCAAGGGGAGTTTGAAAGTGAGCACAGTCGAGGGTCCAAGCTTGCTGCTGCCGCTTATCAAAGAGACTTGACTGATTCAACTCTCTTGCTTTATTGGGATAAAGGAAGCTTCCTGCTGCGATTTAATAGCTTTTTAATGAGTGATTTCAATGGATACGTTCAAGAGCTTACGGCGTAAAGTTCGTATCGCTTCATGAATACGAAAATATAACACAAACGAACTGTATCTCAGCAGCCATATAATATATATTCAAAGCGGATTAGCGAATCGTAAAATAAGTAAGCAAATGTGCAAGAAAGCAACCAGAATAGAAATAATTCGCGAGAGAGAGAGAGAGAGAGAGAGAGGCGAGATAGCAAAGGGAAGGATATAATGCTCGAGAAAATAGCATGCAGCAGGAAGTAACATATGGCTTTGGCCAACTTTGGGTTAAAGGCATGCATTTTCGTAGCATTTACATATATGCAGCTTTGGTCAGGAATATAAATCTTACGGATATTAGTCGAATTATTGCGTATCTTTTTACTTCTTATTTTAATTTAATTCAATTGAATTTTTTTACTTATTTGCTTGTTTGATTGCCAGTCACTTTAAAAACACGAAATGTTAAAGTTTATGCTCAATCAAAATAAATTTACCTATGATTCTGAACGGTAAGAAATTTCGATATAATTATATTCGTCACCATTTTGGTTCTTTTTCCTCGAGCATATGATATACTGTTAAATGTTCAATATATTGAATTCTAATATTTGAAATATTTCAAATACCAAAAGCTTATTGTTAGAAATTCGATGGAATATTTATTTACATTTTACATTTTGAAAACACATTAGAAAACAATATGTAATATAACAAAGACGGGCGATTTTTTCAAACTTTTATTCTCCACAAAAATATTTTTTGGATCGAATTCGCTTATAAAAATTTATTGAATATATCCCGTAGCCAAGTAGCAATGTAACAATAACAAAGACAACAGCAACAGATATTTGTATTTTCAACGCTTGTGTTTGCTTCGTGACTTTTTTAATTTTTTTCATTTAAAAACACAATGTTTCTATACTAATATTCCATACGCTTGAATTCTTTATTATGAAATGAAAGTAAAAAATATTTTTTTAGTAATTTTATCCTATTTTTTTATAATCATCACATTTCCTTTTGTTGAAAAAAAAGAAATAAATTCAAACCATCGGATCATTGTTAACAGCCTCGTAAAAGAAGTCAACTCATTAAAATGTCGGCCGTAAATTCGCGGCTACCGACAAGAAGAAAAAAAAAAGAGGAGAATACAGCGCGAATGGCGTTGGCTAATCACAAGCCGCACAAGTGTAGCAAAGTAATTTGGAGATAGACTGGGGCGAACAGACAGAAAAGACGAGGAGCTAGTATTCTCTGTGGCTCAAACTCGCGCCCGTGTTAAGAAAAAAAAAACAGGCACATACACATGCTCGAGAGGACGATGACGGCGAAAGAAGAGATAAGACTCGTATACGCGTACGATGAAGGGGTGAAGAAGAAGGGACAGCTCGATTAATGATCGAAGCTCTCGCTTTGCTAATCGCCAAGCACGCAGCAGCTCTTCACCGTGAGCTGACGTCGCGTCGTCTATGCCTGCTTCTCGATACTCTGCACGTTTTTCTCTTCTCACTTCTCTTCTCTTTCCGTTGTGTGTGCCTATGTGTAGATGTGGGTGTACCCGTTTCGCGTGTTTTTCTCGTTCTTCCACCTCTCTACGCTTTTCTTCAAGTCGAAAAAGAGGGACGGAAAATCCTATACACCGCTTCGTACGTTCGATGCCGATGGAAGTCGAACTTGAGACAATACGGGACATACACACACGCAAACAAGTTGCACCTTAGGAATGGCTTTTGTCCAGCCATTGCTGTTTGTTTTCTTTCTTTGAGGATGGTATTGTCTCAATTCGAACGTTTTTTTTTTCCTTTTTGTGACTTTAAATACTGAATTTGAATAAACATTCAACTTTTGAACTCCTCGTGTAAATATTTTTATGTTTATGAACACTAGATTGATGTATTAGAGACGACTATCAAGTTCACCATTCGCTTCTTTTAATATTCATGTTAATACATACCTAATTCATAACTTTTATTAACGAAATTCTTAAATACACTCTATACACCATTATATTCTAATCCATCTCTAAAATAATAGCGAAAAAAGATGTTTGTTAAAAATTATAATTTGCTGCCAATTAGCTTCTAGTAAATTAATTGAAAAATGTGACCCAAATTCAAGTCAAAAGAAATTTCACCACAAGTACTTTTTTATTTTTAATGAATCTTTAACTAAAGTTGACAGTCGAAGCTCGAAGTTACTCGCAAATTCTAATAATAAAGTTTGTCAAGCGAATAAACTGAAATAATAAATCCACTTTATCAGAGTTCTCACAGCTCTGACATTTGACGAGTTTCGTTGTCGCTTTCATGATACTTGCGCACAATGTCATGCTTACATCTGCCAACAAAAGTCTCCAAGCTCTTTTCGCGTGCGCGGGTCATTCAGGATTAAAGTGACGAGCGAACTCGAATGCTCGCTTCTCTTCTTTCGAGATACTTTTATCTTTGTCAGCACACTCTGAATTATTTGAAACGAGCAAACGCTCGATGCTGTTTTTTTCACTCTCTTTCTTTTTGGAATCGCTATGTTCTCGCTGCATTACCTCATCGTCGTTGTATGTAGTATTCCGTCAAAAAATATGACGTTCGCCGGCTACTAGTAAAAATTAATGCTTTCACGGCTCAGTATTTTTTATTGCTGTGCTTTCAGACGAATGAGAAATTGTTTCTTCTCGCGTTTTCTCTCTCTCTCTCTCTCTCTCTCTCTCTCTCTCCTTCTATAGAAAAGCATTTTACAACTCGAGTGCTCTCTTGTTTATTTCATGAGAGTTTATTTACGGTTTATTGCTGTTTTGAATCACACTACTTTTTCTATTCATTTCAACATTTTTTAATAATCTTCTTTCACTATGAAAATAATATATAACGGTAGAATTATATTTTTGCAGTTATTGCAGTTGTGCGATATCACGCGAATTCCCTCATTCTTAGATCGTCATTCACATTCAATTCTGTGATTATTATGAAGTGTTGGATAAGCTTATTCAGAGTTTTAAAGTCTGGAATCTACTAACAAGGAAACTTATCGTCCATAGAAAGCTTCAATCGTGACAGTTAACTTTTCCTTTTAATGAGAAATATTGACATCTTCACACAAAAGCTCTCAATTAAAACCATGTTTGTTGAATAATAAAAGATCATAATAGACCACTTAAAAAGAAAATGTACATTCAATATAAAATATACATAAGTATAATGATTTATTTTTAAAATAAAAATGTTGATCGTAAAAAATTAGTGTATTTTCGATGGCCGAAATCAACACAATTTAAAAATTTTTACTTGAGAATTATAGATAATATTGTTTTAGAACTCCTGATTTTATAAAGTGAACATAATTTTCAACATCTTTTAATGTAGTTTAAATAAAAAAATTGTTATTTAAATCAATCAGAGTAGATTAGAAAAAAGAATTCAGACCTAACGTTCGAAATGACATTATTAGTAAAGCCGATATTACATGTAGAAGCTATGTGAAAGAGCTGCTTCGTAATCTATTTTGAAAACGAAATCTCTTCAATCCTACTTAACTAACATTATATGTTACAATTATACATTCATTATTCATTAGCTTCCAAAAACTGCATCACCAAAGCTTTCCAAATTGATCCCGTATTTTAAGCAGCTTTTCATATCTTTTATGCTCACTGGACATATTGAATTTTTATCTTGTATTTTATATGATTGATTTTTAACTGAATATTTAATAATTATGAGTGGATTTCAACGTTTTTCACACCATATCTTTACTTGGCAGAGCTTACGGTCGTCGAATGAATAACATAAACTTGCGCAACTTTAGCATATATATATATATATATATATATATATATATATATATATATATATATATATATATATATCGCTGACATCACGATAAATCCGTCCTTACCACATATTTCCCTCATCTTCTTTTCTAGGTAGCCGTCGTCGGTCAGAAAAAGAGGGGCGCATCGAAGCGCTGGAAAAAAGGGGCGAGCGCAGCGTGTTGTGTCCGCGAGTCAGTAGTGTTAGTTATGAACTGGTTAAGAAGAGCGACTTCCGCTCGAACGGGCCAACCGAAGCAGGAGCAGCAACAGCAGCAACAGCAGCAACGTCGTCGTCTCTTTGTATGCTGAAAAGGGGACCGCCGTCGTAGATAGAGAGTCTGGCACAGAGAGCGCTTTTCTCGAGAGATCACTTATCGGCTGCTACTGCTGTTGAAGAAGGAGGAGGAGGAGGAGAAGGGCATCTGGCAATCTTTATCCGCTTTTGACTCCTCTTGCAACTCTCTCTCTCCCCTCCTCTCTCTCTCTCTCTCGGCCATGGATTGGCTCTTTTGCAGGGTTGCCACCCTGGCTATTGCCCTTCTGCTGCTTGCCACCACCAAAAGTGAGTATTTTTTTCGTCTTCTGCCGATATTTACTTTTCTTTCTCCCAGCCCCATTTTGAAGCAACCGGCATATATGAGTATAAGCTCTGAGACATCATTTCGTCGATATGCCTCGTATATTAGAGTTTCTCTCAGACTCGAGCAAAGATGTAAATATTTCGGCTTGCGAGACTTTGTGAGACTTGGGCTGACGACGGGAAAATTCCTTTACAACGAGACAGAGACGACGGTCGTTTATTGCGCATTTTCGTCGAATAAGCGATGAATCAGTATGACAGTTTCGAGTAGACTGTACTGCTGCCTCTGCGTGGTCTTTTATTACACGCGTGAAAAAAATGACCTATATGACTATCTAATTGTAATAAAAATGGAATTCAAGCACGTGCGGTTCTTTTTGTGAGATACGTAACGTGAGTGTCGTGATTTAGTCACAGGTACTTTACTTTGGATCGAGTTATCATTGAAAATGTTACTCGTCAAAACGAAAAATATTTGGAAATTATAAAGTAGTTAAGCATGACAGGTAACAAGAATTTTCAAAGATCTATTTGGAAACGTAGGGAATGGCTGCATTTTCTTTAGAAATACATTGATACGTGAAGATCGCGAGAATGAATATGAAATACATAGTTGGCATATTGACGAGTCGTGAATATCCAACGGATATAACGTGAGCTCAAGAGTTCTATATAGAGAAAAAGAAAGTTTTTTTTTCATATTCCAGAAAATTCAGCTTGGTACATCAGTACGCTGGGGGCGAGTGAGAGGAAAAACTCAAGGATTTTGAGTTATTACGAAGGGGTGCATCGGAATACGATACATTGATATATTAAACGACGTATCGAACGGACGCACGTTGTCTGCTTGCATAATACATTATTTTCTCCTTCGCACTTGTACTTCACTTTTTTCTCTGCTTTTCATTTTGTCGCGCGCGTGACTCTTTCTTTTTCTCTCTTTCTTGCCGCGTTATGAATTCTCGAGTGGAGCGGCAACGCGTATAAACAAAGCTCTACTTTGACGATTGATCCGACTGCGCCTCCTCATTTTTGTCACTCATCATCATTCGATGATTAACGCGCTACGACAGTTATGTTGCTAACGAGCTTTCGACGCGATTGTTTTTTTGTAATTATCCGTTTGATCGATTAAAATTTGATTTTGCTATGTCGATCGGAATTCGTTTTTGAAAGATTAAATATTGCGATGAAATTGATAATGAATCTGAATAATAGTTTATTTGGATTAGTCAACATCGCCATGTCTCAAATGTATCGCTCAAGACTAAAGTAAATTAAATTAGAAAGTGAGATTTTTACATGAAATAGGTAACTTATTGATCGGTTAAACGTAGTACGGCTGATGTTACAATAGATTAGGCTTTTTACGTGCGTCCCGGTTCAGAAAAATGAACAAAAGCACTTTTCAATAGATGGGAAGGTCTACGTTTAAAGAAATGACCGAGTTACAGTTTATGAATTATTAAATGAAATTCGATGCATTCTAAATATCGTAATAATTATTAGATTATAACAAAATTATGGATGTCATTATATATATATATATATATAACGATGAAAAATTTTTATTGTTACTTTTAGTTAATTATTGTTACTTTTAGTTAATTATTTAACATGTTTTCAAACTATTTTTGTTGTTATATTTATCAAACATTGCAAACGCCACTCTCCTTAAACATAATTTACACTAGTGTAATACTTTTACACATCAATATAATTTCTCTCAGTTACTTTAACTAAAATAGTTGTTATATTAATTCAGGGATAATGGAAAATTATATTATCTCAACTGAGAAGAATAGATAGATAATTCGTTCAACTAGTTCACCAGAAATTAACTTAATAATCATATGAATAATACTTAGTTTGATATATACGCGAACAGTGGAAAATTTAGGTCGAGAGCAGAGCTTGTGCACATACGTATACTTCCTGAAGTATAGCCAGTACAATTCACCGCTCCTAATTCGTTTACCTTGAGCCAACACCTTCAGTTGTTTATTATTACTGTACACATATGTGGTAACACTTAATTTCTGGTGTATCGATGTGAAATGTACCATTATTTTTTCAGTTAAAAGTTCATTCTTGAATAAAACACGTAAAATACTAAAAATTATTTGACAATGAATAGTAATCAGTAATGTCAATAACACAACCGACTTTTTCAACATCGATATTATGTTTGATTGTTTATTAAAATAGCAAAGTATTGTCTGTAAAAAGTATCATTTTTTCCAATCAATAATACTGTATGCAATAAATCTGGATGATAAATCAAACTGCGGAATAAAATGATAGAAATGACTGATAAAATACATGCGACGCTATATATCCAATTAGAATTATCGGAGTAAGAAATCAAGCTTCATAAATGTTCTTCTAAATCACAGAGAAACAAGTTCATTGCCATTGGAGGCACTAAGAATAATGAAGGTGCAATGAGTCCAAGAAATCTGAATAAATAGCACGAACATTTATTTCACCACCCGCTTAGATCTTGAGAGGTGGCAATAAAATTCTCTGTAATTCGAGAAAGAGACGGAGAGAGGTATTCGGAAAATGTGGATGCTATTCTATGAAAATTATCAGCATTAAAATTAGATGTGGGAGAGAATTGTGGAGACGTTAATTGCTATAATATACGAAGTGACGTACAGCAGCAGCCTCGAAAACAAGCGCTTTTAAGCAACTGCATATTTTAACAATAATAAATCCAAGTTGGCGGCCAACATGCATAAATTTCACAGACAAAATTTCTTGGTTAATAAAAAATTCCCGAGCCAGCGAAGGTTCACGGCCAGTGTGTGAAACACGCAGGGAGAAAGAGAGAGAAAGAGGAAGAAGAGAGAGCGAGAGAGAGAGAAAGAGAGAGAGAAAGAGAGAGAGAAAGAGAGAGAGAGAGAGAGAGAGAGAGAGGAGAGAAGAGAGAGAGAAAGAGAGAGAGAGAGAGAGAGAGAGAGAGAGAGAGAAGAGAGAGAGGAGAGAGAGAGAGAGAGAGAGAGAGAGAGAGAGAGAGAGAAAGAGAGAGAGAGAGAGAGAGAGCGCAGGTGGTTTGATATAACGCAGCATGCCAAAGTCCTTTTTCCCAACCCCTTTGCGCTCAAAGAATTTTAATTATCTGATGAATATTTAAATCAAGCCAAAACCAACGAGCTGCACTCACTCTTCCCGACAAACACAAACACACATCCTTAACATACACTTCATGTATTGCACGAGCGCTAACTATCCTTAATGAGTATCTCAATGTAAACCCACGTATCGTCGTTGCCGAGTAAGTTATTTCAACTTGTTACTTTGCAAAAATATATACATATAGAACTTTGCGCGAAGATCAAAACTTTTGTAATCTGAATTTCATAAATTCATAACGATATAGAAGAGCGAGCGAGCGAAACGAAAGATTTTCCTTTCTTTTTTTTCGCGCGTTGGCGACTTGGCCTAATAATTATTACGAGAGAGAAAGGCTCATCCTCCGCGAGAATGTTAATTATAAAACAGTAGCCGAGAAAAGCGAGCGGGCAAAACAAAGGGCCAACTTTTAATAAACTTCAGAAAACGGCGCTACGCTCCGCAGCTGAAAGGAGAGCGAACGAGCTAATGAAATTTCGACGGCTAACCACCGCAGAAAAAAAAAGTTGTATACGTTTGTGAAAAACTGTACTGCGATGTATTACGAGTAAAGTAAATTACAGGTAGTTATCAATGGAATAAGGTATGAATTGAGGAATTGCCGAGGCAAAGAATAGGTGTAGAAACGAAAGCATCTCTAAAGAGTTTAAAGCAATCGCCCGTGAGGAAATACGTATCAGCTTAAGCCGGTAGATTGTTGAGTTCTGTAAGAAAATGAGAAAGCGAGACGCTAGCTCGGCGCGCGAAAAGACAGAGAATTAAAAGCTTAGGAATTAAAGCTTCTCTGTCTTATCAATTGGATTCTCTTCTGTTTTTTTTTCCTTCTTTTTTTGGCCAATCAAAAACTTCAGCAAATTGCTTTCGGCTAGTTCACCGATACCTACTCTCTTGCGGATAATTAAGTTTTTTGTACCTGGTAAAAGGGAGATTAAATAATGCTATTAGCGAGTATTTAAGTTAGAAGTGTTTTAAAGAACTGGAGAATAGTTAAATGGCTGGTTCGAAAACAAAGATATATCATTGCTGATAATACAAAGTGATCGCCTGGCTGAATAGCAGAACGTTCTAGAATTAGACGCTCAGGTGAGGAATACGAAAAGGTCTCGAGGCGAATAAACTTGGCGAAGAGTAGAAGCAAGAAAATGAGCAGACACCAGACCAATAGGCATTAGGCGACAAAGAAAAGGATACGAACGTCGACTCGATTCGTTAAAACTTTTAATTCATTCTGTTAGGAATTCATGGGCAGCATCCCTCATTGTCGATTTACTGGCCTGCCAAGCGCAGCGGGGTACAAATATTTAATGATCCCGCTATTCCGCAGTTTCAAGAAGCTCGCTCTTAGACGCCGTCGACTTATTGTCCATGGCAATCGAACGCGCGAAATCAATTGCGCGCGCACGCGCACGGGTGTGTGCTCGGACTACTCGACTTTTTTAATCTCTCCTTCTCGTACGAGACCTCCCGCGTAATGCACACACTCGACTTTTCCTTTCATATCTGCTTCCCCATTTTTATATTTTTTATTCGCATACGATACCCGATACACAGGCCAGAAAGATGATACGTTCACTCTCTCTCTCTCTCTCTAGCTGGAGAAATAATATTTTTTCGTGATTGATGATTCACGTGGAATCATTGTGCTTATTTTTCTAACGTGCGCAGTATACATGAACAGTTTTTATTTTGCGCGCTATGTATTTAATCTAGGAGAATCCACGCATTTAACCACCCCCCCCCTCTCTTTCTGAATTTTTCGTACGTTAAATTTATTTGCATTATGACGTGAGCAAACTAATTTTTTTGAAATTCTACGAAGTTATCATGAAAGTTAACGCTTTTTC